ACAGTTGGGAGTAGCATTTTCTTGGTTTAGGGTTTAACTACCGCACTTCAAGATTATTTTGGCTCCACAATTAGTGACCCGCTTTAAGACTTAATACAGAATTTGATCACTTTATGCATGCAAGAGATTGTTAATAGTAAAATTGATAAACAAGACATGTCCTTTTGTTATGTATCAATTTCATATCTCACCGGCTTTATTCCAATATATCTACTTATTTTAATCTTGAAACTGTAAAGAAGCTAAAAGTGATAAACGGGTGGTTATTGCTTCATAGATCTATCAATAATCAACACCCAATGTATGAAGGAGAAGGAATAGTAAGCAATTACAGTGACGTAAGGATATGACAGGAAAGAACAAAATATTCCATTAAGAATGAAGGGAAATGACCAGGTCATCACACCATTAATCCCCCCTTCATTATTCTCTTTTTCTTACGAGTATCAGTACACAAAATCTCTCAATTATGAATTTGTTAGCCTTTGCCTCATGCTCCTTCTCTCGTCCAGGATTCCCAGACTCCTCCAACAGTTTTGATCCTTCTTCTCTAGCCATGTATCCATTCTGACTTGGCAGCTTCATTGCAGGATCATACTCACACACACACACATGTACACATATATATGTATGATTTATTTATTATGATTCTTTTTTCCTATATTTCATATGGGTATATATGCCATGTCCTTGTTCAACAATTTTTAAAATTTGGTGTCTCTTTGTGATGTTTTATGTCTTTGTCAGTGCCTGTTTTGTGGTTAATTCTATGTTTGTTCTTCCAGGATGGGAAGTACCAGGAAGCACTAAGTAAATGGGAGGCTGCTCTTGCGTTGGCACCTGATGTTCCGATTTTGCATGAACAAAAAGCCCAAGTTTTACTAGAAATTGGAGACACTTGGAATGCTTTAAAGGCTGCAACTCGTGCGTCTGGGAACTTGATTTTGTTTAATCTTGTGTATTGAGTCAAATGAAATTTTAAATTACAATTTGTTATATATTTATTTCTGCAAAGAAGTATTATAGTTATTTGGGGCTTTTCTTCTGCTGATTGTTATATTTCATAATCTATGTGCCCTCTATTTGACAGGAGCGACTGAATTGGACAGATCATGGGCTGAGGTATGATACTATTTTATTTGAAATAACCATTACGCATTGTGACTTTTAAAATATTCCTTCCTAATGATATTTATTACATTAATTCTGTGCTGTAATTTTGTTTAGTTTCAGGTAGTAATTGTGCCTAAATAAATATAAAATTCTTAAACTCAAAAACTTTGACTTGTGTGTATGTGATCTATCTCATGCATATAATTGATTTTCCTAATTTTGATATCCAATTATAGGTTAAAATTTGAGGCAATTATGGGCTGGTTGTCTTATTTTGTTTATTGAATCCCAGAAAACTAGTAGTATGAATATATATATATATATATATATATTTGAAACTCAGTTTCAGTCACCCGATTCACATTTGTTCTTGTAATGTATATGCTTAAGTGATGTGTGTTCGGTACTGTAAAGGAATCAGCAACAAAATGTAAGTGTAAGATCTAGAACCTTGTTAGATTTTTCTTGGTTTTGAGATAAAATGCTCTAACCCTTTGTGAATGCTTAGTGTACTACTGTAATATATTGTTAAATGCTCTAACCTTATTCAATCTCACAAAATTGACTTATAAGGTGAGGTTTTCACTCACATATATACTCTAAATTAACATTATTTCTAGTCGATATGAGACTTTCAACATATACCGTGGAGTTTTCTTTGTATTTTGTACAAGTGCCTTTTGTGTATTTGTACAGATGTCAGCATTAGACAGCTGTCAGTAAATGACTCATATAAATAAGTCAGTGTAGTTGTGATTGAGTAGGTAATTTGAAGAGTACACAGATTCATTGATAGTTATTTTCTCTCTTCTCTGTTCCATTTATCTTAGGTTGGCTTACTACGCTATGTCTGTGTTAGATTTGGTACATGATCACTATGTTACATTTTATATCAAATTCTTTGCGTATTGTATTTGTAGGACTTATGCCAAAAAATCTGCCGAAGTTTGATTTTGAATCACCTATGATAATGCGTACTAGAGCAAAGCTAGTAAATTTCAGCTTCATAGTTGATGCATACATTTCAATTTTGATCCTTCCAGGCTTGGGTCACACTAGGCAGAACACAACTGAATTTTGGTGAGCCTGATAATGCTATTGAAAGCTTTGACCGAGCTTTAGCTCTCAAGGTTAGTAATTGTTTTAGCACATGATTTACTTTTCATTGTAATTTAATTTCCTTATCACAGCAAAGTTATAACCAATAACTATTAGGATAGTCTCTCTGTATAGGTGCATAATACATGTGTACTTCTTGCATTCATTATCAGAATAATATTCGGTTCTTAATCTTTTCTTATAGTGTCTTCATGATGCTTGCTTATTAGTTGGGTTAGATTATCCATTATTGACCTTGGATTTATATTTATATATTCAAGAACCAGATGATTGACTTGCTATAATTGGCATTCAAATATAATGGTTAAATAAGTGGTAAATAATTTTACAAATCACACTTTCACTGAAACACATTTTGGAGCAGTAGTATGTGGAGAAACTAATCAGTGATTGATCACAACTTCAATATTTTAATTAGCAGTACCAAATGAGAATTGTCATCACATTTTACTTTTGGGTTGAGATTTTTTCTGGAAATTTAGGTTCTTGCCCTTGTTATATAAGCATGGTCTCTTCTGAAGCTTAAGCTGAATCACCAAGGATATTCATATTTACTCCTGTTTTAGATGGATAGTGAACAAACTTCATTGCTGTGCAGCCTGATTACGAGGAAGCTAAAGAAGATAGGAAAACCTCTTTACATCTTGTAAAGAAGAGAAGGCAACTTCATTCATCTGGCTTGAGTGACACTCAAAATCGTTATGTGGTGGGTGAAAAGGATGAAAGCCACCAGTGAAGGGATATAAAGAAGGGCGAAAGTTATTGAATATTTAATGTGATATTTGGTTATTCTAGTTGCTGTAGATATAGCAAATTTCAGTCTGTATACTTTTCAGTAGCTCAATGCTCAAAAAAAGTTCATTAGGGGGTAAAGGTGGCACAATAGTTATGTTGATAGTGTAATGATGGTTGTTTCATATACTAATTTCAAAATGGTTGAAATTCAATCATTCCCAAATTTAGAACGGTCACTAGAAAAAAAGTCAAAAAAACAACTAATGCAGTCGAAATATTGAACATCTCTCTAGACTCAACCTAATTTAGACCGTTTTATGTATAAATTTAATGTGAATTTTTCCAATTTAAGTCACTTATTCTAAGGTTTCTAATCTTCATTTTTGTATCATATAACTAAATTCAGAAGGAGATTGTATAAACAGAAGTGCAAAATAGAAGATACAATTTCTTGTTTAATGGTTTCATAACAAAAACAACTTAAGGAAAATATTTATAACTTTTTCTGTATACCTACAATTAAGGTGATTTTGGAGTCTAACATTAGATTTTCATATCTAATAAATACATTTTTTTAATTACATTTAAAATAAAATTACTACAGTGTCACGTAATGAAAAAGAGAACTAGTCTTGAAATTTTCAATTTACTAAGTTAGAATTTATGTTATAAGTGTGTACTCCTGAAGTTCTTGATAACGCTAGAAGTGGAATATAATTCAAGAGAATATTTCTTCATATTTAAATTAAATAATACTAGAATTTTAATATGTAAGAAACTACAATTATTATAATGGAGTTAAAGAATGGTTAATGAGCTCTCCTATAAGTACGCTACCAATGGTTAATAATTCAAACCTTTGGGAAAAAATAAGATGGAGGAAAAAGAATAAGATAAGAACAAATATTAGTATTAATTTTCGTTTGAAATTGTAATTTCAATGAATGGCGAATGATAAAAATACTTCCCTCTTGTTGTAGGGTGGGCAAAAATTGTTTGTTTAGTTGATTTTAGTCTTGGTCCAACAATTAGAGACTGATTCTACACTCTAATACACTAATTTGACTTAAATTCAAATTAATTAACAGCTTATTTTATGATGTTAAAAATTTTTAGGCTTCGCTCTTAACAGACAAAGTATATAAAGTCAAAATGTTGGTCGGTTATGTCAATAATTTTGGGATGTGAGTCAACGTTAGTAAAAAGTAGAAGAGCAAGTAATTTAAAATTGTATTTGTGGCATCAAATACTACCGGTTTGTCTTTACAAAATCCTTCCCCAAAGGTTTTTTTTTTCTTTCAAATGCCTATTTTTAAAGCGGATAATTAAATTAAAATTATTATAACTATTTGTCGAGTTTACATTAAATTTACAAACTCACTACTTTCATATAAAAAATTTCATCATAAAACTACCATTCTCCTGCCCAATGCTACAATGATACAGGATCAACAAGTAACATTTCGGCAATTTTATATACAGAAGACCAAATTCCCTCTATTTAAAACTCTTTTTTAAATCATAAACTTTATTATTGGCTTTAGATTAATGCAAAATAAGATCAATAAATCACTTCAGAACTTATACAGAGAAAAAAAGAATAGTGTTTCCCGAATTCCTAGAGAAGAAACTACCAGTGCGAGGTTATGTTGAAAAGGGTGTATATGGATAAACAACTTAATTATTTTTTAAGAGATGTATTACTGGAGAACTTATTCATAAACTCAACCGTGAAGCTTACTTCAGAAATAAGCTGAAAAAAGTATACTTTTGGTTAACTAAATTTAGAGTTGAAGAAACCAGTTTTTGCAAACTAAGTTGAATGTGGAAGAAACTCTTTCAAACACCCCCAAAACTATTCATTGAATCAGGCATCAAATGTAAACTGCTGTTCATGGCTTGTACGAAATTGTTATTGAAACATTGAAATGTAAACGGATAAAACACACCCCCCTCTTGATTATCAACACACCGGACCTAGACACTAATTTAAAGAACATCCGGTTCCAAAACATGACAATCAGAACATTATATTCTGCATGGAGCAAAGTAGCCAATTAATTTTCATATCAATCACATATATTACAATGCTATACGACCTGCAAAAGGACCAAGACTTCATGTATCACAGTTTCTATTGATGCTCTATGCTCTTTGGCCTCTAAAATCCTTTCTCACCAAAAACGGCATGTATCCAAAAGTCAGCAAAAATCTATCGTAGTTTTACAGCCTAACAAAATCAGTTATCTAAAACAAATGCAGGAAATAGAAAACATTAGGTATTAGCAGTTAGCACATACGCCCTTATTTTAATGTTCTCTCTGACTCAATCTGGATTGCATTCATTTTCTCTTCAGAATTCAGAGTATTTGCTGCAGTTATAAGCATCTCCATTCCTCCAACTTTATCAGATTCCCGTTCACGTTTTCTGTTCCATTTCTTGTCAATGTCTTCATTTGGCTTTAAATCCTTCTGTCCAATTTTCCCTTTCTTGCTCTCGTATGCCTTTCTTGCCTTGCGTATTGCTAGTATCCCTGCATCACATTTTATGCAGAACCATTTCCCCACAGGAATCAAATTCAGCGGAGGTTTCAAACAGTACATATGGTATGCATGATCACAGCCATCACAGAGAACAATCTTATCATCATCTTTGTCAGTGAAGCAGACTTGGCATATACAAGAAGGGCAATACCAACAGTGACCGTAAGTCCTAAGCTGCTTACTAGACAAACACCTTACATGGTAGTACTTACTGGGGCAAAATAAGTGACCACAGATTTTTATTTTTCCACGCTGCACCACTATTTTACAAATTTTGCAGACAGATAGATGTCTCGGCCCAGCGGAAACTGGAATCCCATCACAAGTACAGATTGAATTCTCCTCCAATTCATTCAGTTTTTCCTCTTTTGTAGGGATGATTTCCTTGACGTCATTGTCGTCCAGTTTCTTTGGGACATTCAACCGTTCACACACCACACAGTTCTCATGTTGACATCCAATTCCACTGGCAGTACAATTGGCACAGAACCAGCTTTTAGGGGGTATTTCTTCTACAGCAGGCTCAATACAAGACAGATGATACATCTCTTCACATGAATCACAAACCAAACAGTCTACACCTTCTGCTTTGTCTCCACAATGCCTGCAACTGCCAATTTTTAATGTAACACATTCTACTCTCCGCTCCGGCTTCATGTGAGAGATTGATTCCTGGTTACACAGCCATTTGACAAAACATAAAAATCAACACCGTTTTAATATATCTCAAGGAAAATTTCAAATCAAGTGAAGTGCATTTGGTACTCTGATTGAACAGCATAAACAATCCATGCACCATGAATAGTTAGACTTGCAAAACCTAGGAAGATACTTAAACACATAGGTCTAAAAAATCAAACAAGTCACCAGTGTGTTCTGATAACAGCAAAATTTAGACACCAGAGGAAAAATTAACTACACTTATCGTATCTATCAACCAGAGGAAAATAACATTTTAAAGGTAGGGAAAATTTTCAATATATAGGGATTAATCTTTTCATTACCAAGCATTTCACCTAAGAAATTGCCAAGTCAAATTGGGTGGTTACCATAGGGCTGATAAGCGATAAATTCTGGTCATACTAAACAACCAGAACTCATTCTACATTCATTTAGTTTTTAAGAGAAAATCAAATAGAAAAGATAGAAGATAATAGAGGAACCTTTGGTCTTTGATCATGCAGAATAATGCAACAGAAATTGATGCTACAACGATGAATATGATATAGCCAAGACAAAAGTGAACAAAAAAGACAGTCATTATTTGTCTAAGCTCTAGTGCTTCCAATTAGAATTGATTAACAATCAACAGCATGTGTCTTGGTCACCATAATAGACAGCATTGGTCTCTTTCAGTAGCTAGAAGGCTTGCAACTTGTTTCTTTATTACTAATGGTGAAAAGTGAAACCAGCAAGCCAAAGTTAAAAACAGCCTCATTGGAATTTGAAGTTTGCATTATATAGTACACAGAGAAACTTCTGTCACTTAAAAAGACTGCTTGGGGTTTGCTTCATAATTTTATGTCATGTTTTTACACAAAAAACTGAAACATGGTTCGTCTTTCATTTTGTTTTAAAAAACACCAGGGCATATACATGTATTTTTATTTCATTACTGAATCTTACAATACAATGCAACTTACATATCAAGGTAAAAATAATACTCTCCTGTACATGTGCATAGAATAGTGGCAGAAGTGTGAGAGGATTTGGAATGTGCGCAAACTTTTTCTGATTACTAGATCCAAGGTGCTTTCAAGTCAATTTATCTAAACATCAGATTTTTTAAACTCGATCCAGATATATGCATGATCAGCACATGAAATATCAGAATAAAATAGACACTCTTACCACTTGTTTTCCGTCTTCGAAGGATCTGGGCGTTGAAATCACAACCTGACAACATAGAAAAGAAATTATTTATAAACAACAAGAAAAAGACGTAACCCAGCTAAAAGTGAATAAAATTCGGAAGCAATGAAAATATTATGGAACTGGAAAATAATTAACAAGAGTTTTCTTTACCCGCTCACAGAAGGAAGCTTTTGACAAGTTGGAGAGGCTCCTGGCTATAGCAACAATCTGATGGCCAGTATTTTGAAGCTTCTGCCAAACCTAAGAATATCAACAAGGCCAAGTCATGTAAAATAAGAAATTAAATTCTCCTGTTACCTACTCGGGCTAGAAATTTACAAACACTGTAAAGAAATACCCTGAAGATTGTGGACAGTTCTGATTAGGCAAAGATGATGGATGGCTCTGATGCAATCATGTTGATATAGGATTTAAAATAATTTATTCATCTTAGGAAATATAGTAGTTGATAACATTTTTAGGAACTATCCTTTTTTTGCAAAATTAGACAAGTTTGTCGGCAGTCATTAATTAGCTCTTGACAATCTGATTATATCTGATTTGGGTGTATATCAAATATAGGCCAAGGAATCATGGATGAACCTTCACACTACATGTATTGTATTCTAATAATTTGAAGTTAAGCCTAACTCATTAACAAAACCAGCTTGTCCCTATTGGTATACACTACATTGGCCTTATGACCAGTTAGTGAAACACTAGAAATACATCAACCTCCAGCCCCAGCTAAACACTGGTGCATGAATAATATGATAGGTGGCCCAATAACAGATCTAGAGCAGGCTCTTAAACCATTTTAGAATTCGGATTTGATATTACAGGTAGTATTTTACATGGTCTTCATCTTAAGTAGTATGATAAGTAGTACTTTTTACTGGTGCATGAATAATATGATAGTTAGTATTTTACATGGTCTTCATATTATGACATCTGCCTCTCCTGTTCCCTTACAAGCTTTTGGTGATACAGATTAGGCTACAGATCGTAATGATCGCAGGTCCACCTCCTAAGCTGTCATTTTTCTTATATCAAATCTCATCTCTGGGTGGTCTAAGAAACAAGCTGTTGTTGCCAGGTCTTGCTCAAACAACTGCTGAGATATTTTAGGAAGTTTTAGATTTTATTCCTACTAGTTTAATTATGTATCTTGGTTTTATTACTAGCATATCAATCCTGCAATCTCAGGGGTTTGTTTCCTAGAAAAGGTTGTGCTTGTTTCAAAAATTATCCAAAATACGCATATATGTATGTATATATATCACATAAATTCAATGAGACAGAATAAGAGAGAAACTATTTTGTGGGATGTTCTTGAGCTGTCCTGGTCATTGGCTGTGTGACACTAACAGAAAGGGTAAAGGGAGGCTGAAGGAGAATGAGAGAGAGGGTAGTTGTGTGTCTATTAGGTTAAATTGAATTTTATTGGACCTGGCCTACTTTTTTACCATGTGTTTTAAATCTTTTTTACCATGTGGTTAAACCTGTTTTACCTTGTTGTCCAGGTGTGCCTATTAGGTTAAATTAAATGTTTTTGGGCCTGATCCATTCAATGTGTTTTAAACCCTAAAAAATAAATATATCCTTGCTGTTTAGGTTTCTCTTCTTCAAGAATATTGTGCCGCCGCTTTGTTTCTTCTCCTGTTGGTCCCGCTGGTCTCTCCATCTTCTTCTTTCTCCACTCCTTTTTTTCCGGCATTGCCGTTCTGCATTTGCCAGCCGATATGCACAAAGCGGCCACTATGGGCTGCCACGAAAAATCCGATTCGCCACTGCCTTATTGTGGCGGCAGCTTGGAAACACGTTACTGGTTTCCACCATGGCCGAAATTTGATAACACCGGTTTATCCAACCTTCATTGCTTCACAATCTCATACATCCAATATTGTGCATCTTGCATCTTTGTCTAGTTCACTTGTCATTTTTTTTTGTTCCTTAATTGCACATAATTGTAATGGCGAAATGGAAAATGGAGACAAGCCCCCCACAATGCAGTAGAATTATCATTTAGCCTTTCAATGGAATGAAAAAAATTATCTAAACCCGTCTCAACTCATTAAGACCATCTTGAAAACAAAAGGAAAGGCTATCCATTTAACCAATGATGCCCCAAAAGATTATCCTACATTCAAGTCGTGGGATGAAGAAGACTCTATGATCATGGCATGGTTTTGGAACTCAATGGGTTCTAGAAATTAGTTACACATGTGTGTTTCTCAATTCAGCAAAAAGTCATATGGATTCCAATAAAGCAAACATATCTTGTTAGTAGGATATTAAGTGTTCTATTAGAAGTTGTTAAAAGATTCTAGAGATCTAAAACTAAGAGCAATGTTTTCACCAAAAAGAAAAGAACAAGAACAAGCACATCATCATCATGGCACTCAATTAAAGCACATATTCAGTTACCTAAATTTTACAAATTTTCAAGAGAAATCATAGCTTCGTAAAAGTTGTAACGAGAGGCAAGCTGTTATAAATTACCTGTTGAAGATCAGATAAGAAAAGTGTAGGTGTTTGCTCATAAGCTTGTTCCTTCATCCTTGAGTTTATCAGGCTAAAGTCAAATATAGTTTCAGGTTTCATTTCTTGGAAATTTTCAAGCAGTACTTTACATAATGAACTGAACTCTTCGGAGGCTAAGATATCGCAGAACAATCGCTGACACCTTTCAGTTGCACCATGGCCATCAGGCTCAGTACAAAATCCATTATGCACAGCATTTTCTTGCCCATTAGCTTCACTCTGTAATCTGTAAAGCAAACAATCTAAATCCAAAGAGCGTTCTTGACCATTACTGTCAATTTTAAGAGTTTCCTGCAGAAAAAAATGAGAAAAGTAAAACTGAAGGAACATGTCCTGTAAGCAAGTGAACTTCTAACTGATCAACAGTCATTGTAGTGGCACAACTAATTTTAGGATGAACCATAAATGCATCTCATATACACCACTCCATACCACCATTATCATTGATTAATGAATGATATAAATGCTTTAGTACGACACTCCCCCAATGGTCAAGTAAATAATCTATTTAAGTCTTGCCTACAATTAAATCACAGTTTTGCAGAAAGAATAAAGTATATAGCGTGAAAAGTTCAAAAACAACTTTGCAGAAAGAACCAGGAGTGTTTAGTGCGCTTGAAGTCATGTCTGGACAGAGGCCAGAGTCATAAATTGCTATAGTGTGAAGCACAAATCTCGATTACAGAAAAATTTTCTCTCTTCTTATTCCCACATTAAATACAAATACTACTATAATAGTAACTGTCAAAATATAATGCAATTCAAATAAAGTAATGAGCTGACAAATTTAACCCCTTGGCTGGACTAATTATTTGCAATGAAGCAAATTATTATAATGTAAGATTAAAAAAAGGAAAAGAATCTATCACGCTTTCTTCCCATATCCTCTATCTCACCAGTTGAGAAATAAAAGAGACTATTTGAGAGTTTGAGAGAGATTGAACACTCCTCTCATATCTTAACATATTTATATTGATAGAGTTCTGTTGAATATAGTGAAAAACTATATTTAAATTAATCTCCCTTGTGTAAAATACACACATAGGGTTCTCTATTTATAATAAAAGAAATATGGGCTAAGCCCAAAATACAAATGAGAAATAATAACAAACTAACTAAAAGATAAAAGATATAATATATCTAACAAGTTCTAATACAACGAGTATAGGAAAGAGCAAAATCAACCTAGAAAGATAGGTATATCATATAGTAAATTTTCAACCGATCCAACATCTTGGTACAAACTTCTCTGGATAATATCTTCGCTTGAATAAAATGATAGTCAAGTGTCATGTAAATCTCCTCTTTTAAATCACCATGAAGGAAAACATTTTGGATATGTAATTGATGGAGAGGCCAATGGCATATAATTGTCATGACAAAGAGGCAAACAATAGTCATTTTAGGTAGGGAAGAAAAAGTATCACAATAATCAAGACCATAGATTTGAGTATACCCTTTGGCAACCAATCTATTTTTAAGGCGATCAATTACACCATTTGGCCCAACTTTAATGGCATAAACCCAACGATGACCAACAACCTTCTGTCCAAGTGATAGAGGAGCCAAGTCTCATGTGCCATTATGTTCAAGAGCATGTATTTAACAATCATGGTTTGTCACCATCCAAAATTATAAAGTATCTCCTTCACATTTTTAGGAATGGTAATGAAAGATATAGAGGAGAAAAAAGAATAGAAAGGGCTCAAACAAAGATAGCTTAGAAAATTGTAAACAGGATGAGGATTGCATGTAGAGCGAATACATTTCCGAATGGAAATAGGCCATCTAGAATCTTCATTATTAGATGTAGTATAGGACAACAATGGTAAAGGACATGATGAAAAGGACACACCATGAGGTATTGGACCAATCATTTGAGTTCGTCATTGGTAAGTGATAAAAGGAGGTGATGGTCCATGTGAATTGGGCTAATGAGAGGAATTTGGATAATTGGGAGAAACTACAGTGTTAGGAATAGGATATACAAAGGGCTCCACTAAAGAATAGGCAAGACCCTATGGAAAAAGTTAACACCTTCCATGGAGGAAGAGAAGGAAGGAGTTTCATCCAAAAAGGTGACACTTGCAGACATGTAATATCTTTTGGTGTTAGGGAATAACACTAACACCTTTTTTGAAGACAAAAATATTCTAAAAAGACACATTTGATAGCTCACGCTGGGTTTGTCCAAACCTGAAGACACATCATGACAAAACACAACCAAAGACTCAAGGAATATTCAATGGAATATGCAACTTTATTGTGTCTAATTAGGCAATAAGAATGGCATAACAGGAGTGATGGACAAGTACATTGACACCACCAAGCAACAAGGTATAAGTGATTTCAACTAAGTGTTTATTCTTTTTCTCTACTATACTATTTTGATGAGGAGTATAAGGACGAGTAGATTGGTGTAAAACGCCATGTGCATTAGTGGAAAAACTACAAGGGTATTCTTTGGCATTATCACCCCTTAAGATCTTGACAAATTAGTTTTTAGTTTTACCAAGGACAGACGGTTATTTAAAAGTTCAGACAAATCCTTCATTAAGTAAACCTAGGTACAATGAGAACATTCATCAACAAAAATTACAAAATAACAAAACCCAAAGGATGAGTTCGGCTTGGACCCCAAATGGTAAAATAAACTATAGAGAATACAAAGTTGCATCTTCTTTCAATTCTTTTTTGGTAAAAAAGACCGAATACTTTTCCTAATTGACATGACTCACATTCATACTTTCCTAATTGATATGTATTCCAAATATGGTTTTGGAGTTTGCTATGTTTGGGAATCATACTTTTCAATTTTGATAAATGTGGATTACCCGAGCAATCATGTAAAAGCTTAGGAGATGGGGTTGCTAAACAAGACATTACATTGACAATCTAGTGTCAAGATAGTAGAGTCCTCTAGTATCCAATTCCAACAATTCATGCCATCTAATGGTATCATTTACATAACTTCATGTCCTTATACTCCTCAACAAAATATGAATGACAAAACAAACATATAATTGAAACTATACTCAAACACTTCTTCATATTCATCTTTCTCATAATTTAGGGTGGATGTCGTCGTTATAGTATGTTACCATATTAATCGGATGCCATTGATTGTCTTAATGATTGGGCACCCTGCTCTCTTCTTTTTACTCATTCATAGACTTCCTCCAGCTATTTCTAGTAACACATGTTTTGTGCATAAACTCACTTAGTCAAGATAAACTTCCTCCTTGGTCGTTCAATGTGTCTTCATAGAATATCATTACTCTCATAATGAGTATCAATGTTTCTATCCTAATCTTCAAAAGGTATTTCGTGTCTACTAAATCTCTTTCTTTGAGTTTGTTCGATATAATACAATTGTTCATTCCAATGGCGACATATACAGTCACTTTCCCACCACGTCGATCTTCTTTCATCATCACTAGATGACTCTGTTGTAACTCGAGGATGTTTCTCCAGCACCTCTTGAAGTATATCAATATTGTTCATGGCCTATTGAAATTCTAGTACGAAATCCATCTTGGACAAATAATGATATAACAGAGGTTGAGCTCAATCTTTCCTCAACACTATCTTTTGTACCGAATCTAATATTCTCTAAAATGATTGACCAATTACTATTCAAATAGGTACATGTTTTACCCATAACCCTTCTCCCCACTGCGCAAACCACAACTATCATCCTTTTCCCACCATATATTATACTTATTTGTCCTTATTATCTTCTATTTCCATTCCAGGTCTCTAGGTGAAGCTTTATCTCACCAAGAGTGGTGATAAGTGACGGTTAATAAGATGTGTGCCCTTCAAAGTAGTGGTACTTGGGAGTTAGTTCCCTTCTAGCTGGTAAATCAATTGTGATTTTGTTTAAGGTAATTTAATATTGCAGAAAAGTAAGAACCAAAAATGTTGTGGTAAGCTCAAGTTTAGAAGCAGAATATTGGGCAATGACATTAGTCACTTTTGAGCTCATATGGCTTAAAACATCTTCTCAAAGAGCTCAAATTTGATGAAAATTCCCAAATGCACCTTGAATGTGACAATCTAGCAACATTACACATTGCCCTAATCTTATCTTTCATGAGAGAACCAAACATATTATGATGGATTCTCATTGCAAAAGAGAAAAATTGGAGTCTGGATACTGGACTACTAGATTTGTCAACTCTATTGAATAGTTGGTTGACATATTCACCAAGTCTCTAAGAGGACCAAGATTCACTATATTTGTAGTAACTCGGGAACATACAACATATATGCTCTAGTTGAAGGGGGGTGTTAAAATTTTAGAAATACGGAATTGATCCCCTATATAATGAAGAATATCCAGATTATCTGTTTTACTAGGAACCTTTTTTATTATTCCTGTATCGTATATTTATTACTAGAGGATATCAAATCTCCTCTATTTATTGTAATAATTCTTTTTTCTCAATATAAATAGAACTCCTGTGTTGTCTAAAAAGCACATGGTTTCAACTTAATGTTTCTCTCTTTCCTAGAGTTTACAAAAAATACAGAACATAGGTTGCAACTCAGCTTTACTTTTATACATAATTATTCTTCATTCAACAGTGTACATGCATGAGGATTTGATCTTTGCACAATAGCAATGTCAAACATTGACTTTGCCAATTAGTTCTCTTTTGTCATAAATAAAACTATCAAGTATGATCCACAACCAAAATACATTTTTCCCTTGTGTTTGAACTGAGTACACTTCCACTTTGGACGTAATAAAATTTTAACCAGCCATAGCTGCTCCAATGCACAATATCTAAAACGTATAAGAGAAATGATCCCCAGATTTTGTCATGTGAAGATGTTCTCCTCATCATTTTTGTTCTTAAATTCACAAATTTAACAATAAGTAACACACCTAATAATCAAATGCAGCTCATGATGGGTTACTTAGGTTATTCTTACTAACATTTAGCATACTTATTGAACTTAGATCCTATCTGTGTTTGTGTCCAAGTAACTCCATATCTTTGAAGCATTAGCAAATTAAGACTAAAGAGCACAGAGACAAAATGATTAGCAGTATTCAATATTTCTTCTACTAACACTAGCATTCTACTTTACGTTTTTCTAATGCATCACTGAGCTTAATAAATCTTCTACAAATACTCACTACTATATACTTCAAAGCCACAGCAAGAAACCAAAGACCAGAAACCTAATATCGTATGTTAGAACAAATGCCTTAGGGAGCAGCTAAAGAAACAACCACCGAACTACATCAACCCAAATATAGCCAGAGTAAATCATCCATAATTAACCAAGGAAGGATAATATCTCTCCATAGTCATATTTTTCAAACTAGTTAACTAAAACATTTTTATAATTACAAGTCCAATCCAATCCATATACCCCTGAATATCAGCACTCCTGCAAATTATTCCATAACTACAAGTAATAGGCACGTTTGTATCTTACCAAAAAAAAAGAAAAAAAGGTGATTGACCTCTTTTTAACATAAACCTAACAATCTACCAGCTATCACCACCTCTAACAATTTTATAATATGACATGCATGACACATGAAACATCTTGTACGGAGTGATGACAATATAGAACCATCAAAGGCACACATGTTGTAAAAGCAGTAGGGAAAAACTGGTCGAGCAGGTAACTTACCACTTCCAAATGCTTTCTGCTGTTCTCCTGAACTTTAAATTCTGAAGCACATTTTACATGCTTGCGCCTCTTATATGTTCGAAAACATTCAACTGCACCAGACTTCCCTTCTACAACACCAAATCCATTTGTAAGTACTTCTACATGATCTACAGTTTCATTCTTCAAGCGATCATGTTCAACTGGAGTAACACCACTCCCATCTGCAATTGCCACCTCATTGTTTACAGCTTCATCCTTTGAGCCCAGATCTTCTCCACTGTAAGCAACAACATTCCCATCAGCAATTGCCACTCCATTATTTATAACTTCCTTCTTTGAGCCCAAAACCTCTTCGCTTTCAGCAACACCATTTCCAACCTCAAGTACCATTCCATTATTTACAGTTTCATTACTCAAGTCCTGAACTTTTTCTTCACCTTCAGCAACACCATTGACCCCCACAACTGTTAACCCGGTATTTACAGTTCCATTCTTCAAACCCAAAACTTCTTTCCTATTTGCAACACCATTTCCTCCTTCGTGCGTCACCCCATTATTTATAGCTTCACGCTTCAAGACCCGCACTTCTTCACCTTCAGCAATACCATTCCCACCTTTACTCGTCACCCTACTATCAACAGATTCCTTCTTCAAACCCCGAACTTCTTCACCTTCAACCACAACCCCATCCTTTAAAGATTCATCCTTCAAGCCCCGATCTTCTTCACCTCCAGCAACATTGTTTCTACCTAGATTTCTACCCCCGTAATCTCTATCTTCAGAGTCTGACCTCCTACCCAACACAGCCCACTTATCACCATTGCTAGTTCCATCCTCAGCTTGCATTTCCACAGAATCCCAATTTCCAAATACTCACGGCAGAAAACTAGGGTTTCCCCGGAAACAGATCCAAAACTCTTCAAGATTTGTCTCTCACCAACTTCACCGATCAACAACGCTGAAAACCATAAACACCAAAGTCACCAACACAACGCAATTTAAAATACACGCACTCCATTCCGAAAACCCATATAAACCAACAAAACAGCCACCTCAACTTCAACCACTAAGGTAAATGCAGCGAAAGCAGAAACGAAAGCTAAAAAACAACTAACACAAACAAAATACCGACACGCTTTCATGGCACAAAATTCAGTAAACATCCAAAAAAAAGTGAAAAACAAAAGCACCCCAAAAAGCTTGTACTATTCATTTAACATTTAAGAATTGAATACCAAAAACGAAAACGGAAACAGCGAGCGAAAATTGAAGAGGAGGAAGAAGCGCTTACAGTGCAGAGAGGGGATTAGAGCGAGTGGGTTAACTAACGCGAATTGGAAGAAATTGAATGTGAAATTGTTGTTACAAAGAAGAAGAAGGTGCTTCTCTCTTATCCTTCTTGTTTTATTTAAACACAACAGTCTTTCTTTCCCCGGTCATTTCTTTTCTCCGTCCTTTCCTTACAAAAAAAATTAATATAGTTCCAAGAGCCACGTGGCTCTGGTTGGGGTTGGGCTTTGAGAAAGCCCGTTAAAAATTCACAGAAAGCTAATTTACTTTCAGATTTTCCTCCCACACCTTCTTTTTCAATTTTTAATTTGTCATTTTTGTTCTATAACTTGTTTAACCTCCAAAACATTCATTGATGCTCTAGATTAGTGTCCTTACATATGATCTCTTACTTTTTACATTGGATTTAGCAAGAGTGTTATAAAATGTGAAAGCTGAACTTAACCAACTCCTTTGAGGTTCTTTTCATCAAAGCATTCCGAACAATAAGAAAGGTAGAACTAGTTTTTCAGATATTTTTAAAATAATTAGAAAGTCTTTTAGATGGAGTCATCCACAGTAATTTCAAGTTCAACTTAGTTGCTGTAACATTCTAGATTTTATGATTCATAGTTATAATTTAGTTTCGGATTGCACAATTCAGAGAGAACTATTCCTACTTTCAAAATTTAACTTTTATAATCTGAAAACAAAATAAACTTTCAAATTGTCATACACTCTTCCATATTGATTAATGTGGAAATATGTTTGGTTCTTAAATAATGTAGAATTAATTATATTTTTGTATTTATTTTTGTATTTTAACTTTTGCATTATCTAATCTAGAAGTTAATTTTTTAACTTTTGGATTACATGTTCTAGAAAGCAATAAATTTTATTATGAGAATAATGATGCTTATGTTTGTAGTAATCATGATTTGTTTGGTTTATGAGATGATTTATTTGAAAAATCCATTAATTAACTATACATTACAAAAATATATACATTACAAAAGTAATTTACAATTGATTATAACTAAAATTGGATGATGTGATTATCCATTTAAATTGCATGACAAAATAATGAATAATGGTAGAAGATGAATTGTGAAGTTACTTTATGGATATCATAATTATGAGTTAGCAAATGAAAAACTAATGAAAAATTCATATTGTTAACATGACTAAAAGTTTGGTGAAATCCAAAATCATTTTATGGACTTTGAAGAAGATTAATCAAGTGAATGTACAATATAAAATATGTATATCAAAGATAAGTTAAAATGTAAAAGTCAATAATTATGGTCGCGTGACATGTATATTTATTAAAATAGGTTTGATGAGACATTGGAAATTATGATAAATGTCATTTGACATACCATGATTCAATAAAATCATTGAAGGCATTTAGCATTGTTTTGCTTATTAATAGTACATACAAAACTATCAAATATAAGTTATCTTTAGTTGAGATTGTTGGTGCAACATTCACATGGTTGACTTTTTTTATAACTTTGGTGTTGTTGGCAAATGAATGAAATGAAAGGTTTAGACATTAGATTTGCTAAATTTGGTGTAGAGCACAACATATAAATTAGTGTCACACTTAAATTTTCAAATTGACATAACTTTGTGTACAAAAACTCCAAAAAAGACTTAAATAGGATTTGTGTCGAGGTAAAAAATTACCATTGATTGTTAATATTCAAAACAAGTTAAAGGTTCTTCAAACCACAAAAAGTGTATTATTACTATTTTTTTTTTCACCTACTTTTTTAGTATTTTTAGCACATAGTTCATATGGCTAGTCTTTGAAATATTGTGGTGTCTTCCTACTATCTATGTACCTTATCCATTACGTTCTTTGATTCTAAGATTGATAAAACCTTCCATGGATATCATAAAAAACATTTCACTCATTCAATAAATAGTCATTTTGATAGTGTACATTTTCTACTTTTATACTTTGTATCTGATGGTATATCCCCTAGTCATGATCAAACACTTTCAAGAGGAGTTGAAGTAGTTTGTGGAAGATGGGTCTAGACTCTATCTTTTAGGCCATCATGGAGCTTTTAGAGTAGGAATTATTTTTTAGCCTTGTATTTTTGGCCAAGTAGTCTAGGATTTATTTTGAGTTTTGTATTATGGGTCTAGTAGTGTAGGATTTATTTTTGGGCCATGTATTTTTGACCGAGAAGAATAGGGATTTTGACCACTTAAGTCAACAAAGGGCCAAGGCCCAATGTTAAACCAAGTAGAAGCCTCAACTTGTTCACTAAGGGGGTTAACACTTTTCAAGTTATCTTGGTGAGCAAGGGAGTGTGTATCTCACTTATGTGTTAGTGGTCATATGTCACTCTCACATTAGAGAGGATTTTCTATAGGTAATCGCCACATGTCCTCTTTCTAATAGAAAGGATTTTTGCCGCATGTCCTCCTCCTAATGGAGAGGATTTTCACCTTGTTCTCCAAGCTAGCCAAGTTTGAGTTTTTAGGTTTTTGCTTCTACAATTTGGAGACACCCTTAGCCTATAAATAGAGGCATCATTAGATCATTGGTAAGTTCATAAAAAAAATTCCCTTATGTCTTGTTGAGTTTCAAATTCTACTTTTGATTCTAGTAGGTTTTTTCTACTTTGTATTTTTTATTTTTTGAGCTTTCAAAATCAAAATATCAAATCTATTTTGGATGTGTAGTGGTCTTGTTTTGCACTTAAAAGAAGTGAAAAAAGAAGAGTTAAAACCTTATCAGAAATGCTACAAAAGAAGTATCAAAAAAGCCTAGCAAAGTACCAAAAGTGTTGTGCATTTGACCATTACCACTAGTGTGGAAAATTTCGTGTAGCTGTAATTTTGCTCTCTGTTTTGTGTATTTTGAGCTCTTTCCAGCAGCTCAAAATCTTGGCATTTGATGTTAAAGAGTGGCATTAGTGCCCTATTTTCTCAAAGTTTTCCAAAGACAATAAGTACTAATTTTTATTCTAGGAGTTAGGAGATTTGTACCTATATGCCTCCTTCTATAGAAGATTTTTACCTAACTTCTCAAGCATAGCATCACCATTCAATGAGTTGGTGAAAAAGGATGTGAAATTTGAGTGGGAAGAGAGACAAGAATTGGCTTTCAAGCAACTCAAGGAAAAACTCACCAATGCACAAATTTTAGGTCTTTCAAACTTTTCAAAAACATTTGAGATAGAATGTGATGCAAGCTTAGTGGTGTGGGAATAGGTGGAGTCTTGTTACAAAAGGGGCACCACATTGCCTATTTAGTGAAAAAATCAATGGTTCCACTCTTAACTATCACACCTGTGACAAAAAGTTGTATGCCATTATAAAGGTCCCTTCAAACTTGGGAGCACTATCTAGTCTCCAAAGAGTTTGTCATATATAGTGACCATGAGTCACTTAAATATTTGAGGGGACAACACAAGTTGAACAAAAAAATGCAAGATGGATGGAATACTTAAAATAATTTTCCTATGTGATCAAATATAAGAAGGGAAAAATAAATGTTGTAACTGACGTACTTTCTAGGAGGCGCAACATTTTCTCTAAACTTGGATTCCAAAATTCTTGGCTTTGAACGCATGGGTGAAATATATGAACAATATGATTTCTACTCCTCCATCTTTGTCAAAAGAGGGTTTAATGGGAATTCTATATGTCCAAGGGATACTTGTTCAAAGAGGGTAAATTATGTGTGCCTCAAGATTCCCGTAAGAAACTCCTCATCAATGAATCACATGAGGGAGGTCTCATGGGTCATTTTGGAGTGGACAAAACTCTTAGCATTTTTCAAGAAAGATTTTATTGGCCACACATGAGAAAAGATGTTCAAAGGCATTGTCATAAATGCATTGGATGCTCACAAACCAAGGCCAAGACCATGCCTCATGGCTTGTTCACTTCCCTCCTCATTTCTTCATCCCTATGGGAAGACATTAACATGTATTTTATCCTTGGTCTACTCAAAACACAAAAGGGATTTCATTCAATCTTTGTGATCGTGGATAGATTTAGCAAGATGGCTCATTTTATTTTATGCCACAAGGTAGATGATGCTAGCTTCATAGTTAAACACTTCTTTAGAGATATGGTAAAGGTACATGACGTGTCAAAGACCATTGTATCAAATAGAGATACTAAGTTCCTAAGTCACTTTTGGAGAACTATTTGGTCAAGGCTACAAACCAAGCTTCATTTCTCAACCTCTAATCATCCCCAAACGGATGGTCAAACCGAGGTTGTGAATAGATCTTTGGGTACCATGTTGAGAGTAATTCTTAAAGGCAACCACAAACCTTGGGATGAGTACCTTTCCCATATTAAGTTCGCATATAATAAGGGCTTTCACAAGACCACCAAGATGTCTTCCTTTGAGGTTGTGTATGGCTTCAATTCTTTTGATCCTTTAGTCCTCATACCCTCTTAAATCCTAGTGAGTTCATTTAGAAGGAAGGGTATCTAGGTTCAAATTTGTGAAGAAAATGCATGAGAAGGTGAAGTCTCATATACAACACCAAACTGAGAGATACAATAAGCACAATAACAAAGGAAAAAGGGAAGTGATTTTTAAAGGAGATTGAGTTTGGCTTCATTTGAGATTTCCAAAACAAAGGGGAAGTGCCACATTCAATGTGTGTGATCTAACCCTTTTTGTAGGAGATTTGGAGGAAGATGAAGAGCCTCTAGATTTGAGGTCAAATCCTTCTCAAAAGGTTTTGCTTCTACAATTTGGAGACACCCTTATCCTATAAATAGATGTGTCTCTTACTCTTGTATTCATCTTTGAATTTGAGTAATGTTATGCAACCATTTTTTTGTCATACTATTCATCTTAGGTCACCAAAGGCTAGAACATCACATGTGGTCTCCTTTAGCTACCTTCTTTTAGAGTTGGTCTAACCTCTCTAAGAGCACGATCAAAGACCACTATATCACCATCCAAGAACCAAGGTCGTAAGCCTTCTTCCCCTCAATCCACCAAATTTCGCACTATCTCACCATTTTCCCCATCACCATAGCTTGTTCTTCTAGTTTTGACCCAACCTAGCTAAAAAGATTCACCTAACCTCTTTTTTAACACCATCAAACACCACTCCATCACCATTCAAGCACCAATACCATGAGTCTTCTCCTAATCCATCAAACTCCACACCCCATGTTCCATCTCACCACCTCCATAGCTTCTTTTAGCATTAGCCCAACCTAGTCAGGAGAAATACTATCAGTACCTCTATTACATTTTATATTTTGATTTGCCTTATGATTCTACAATCATGGGCAACAATAGAACTCCTAAGGAACTTATTGAGCTGGTTGCTAACCATCAACCGTTCTATATTGTTCCATTTGTACTTACAAAACATCTAATTCATTTGTTGCATAGATTTAAAGGTTATGGCACCTCCTAATGTTCCTGACAAACATGATAGACTAAAGACTTTTCCATTATAGTGCTAAGGATTGGTTGTACCACCTTCCTCTCAATTTTATAACTAGTTGAAACAATTTAAAGAGATTGTTCCTGGAGAATTTTTTTCCCTACATCCAGCGCTGTTTCAGTCATAAAAGACATGTGTGACATCAAACTTAGATATAAACACTTATTGAATACTGAGATATATTCAAGAAATTGTGGCTATCCACACCGCACTGTCAGTGATCAATTTCTATTGCAATCCTTTTATATGTTGACAAACTCAACTAGTAGTGGTGTCTTAGTAAACAAAAACTCCAATTACAATCTCATAGAAAACATCGCCTCAAGATACATACATGCCTAGATACAAACATGCACCATGTTCAACGAGGAACCTCAATAAATGTTTTTTCATCCACTTGGCCCTAGTCATAGGTGGGTAAGGTTATGAGAGTCAATTTGGAAAGGTTTATGAGAGGCATGAAAGGTAAGATAACTTTGTTTGGTCTAAGGTAAAAGGTCTTTAGTCGAGGAGAAAAATGGCACTGGCTCCTGATAATTTCATTCATTGAATGCTAGCTCACGAATATGGGGAAAGGGAAACAAAGAATATTTTATATAAAATTGAATTGATTCTGTCCAAGGCAATTTCAATTCCTTTCAATTCAAGATAATCTAAGCAGTGAAATATAATACTATATAACATTTTGTTCTACTTTATGTGATCTTTTCCATTAATCCAAAGACAAACATAAAACTGAACATGGAATCACAAAAATATGAAACATCTACATTTAATCCAAAATAACAATAAGGTGTGCCAAAACACAGTGATGTTATCAGTGTCTACTTATGATTTAGAACAGTCAGCCATTATCAGAAAACTGAGAAGATATGCAAGTATTCCTAGTTGATGGAATAACACATCATACAGATAAAAGAATAGTCGAAGAGTACGAATAAAATAATTTATTGTATCTGGAATAAATAAATAAAAGATACAATAGTACAGTATAGAGATCGTTTCTAACAAGTTCATTACTCTTAACAGTCATCTTGTCAAAACAACAAACACTATCAAACCCTAGCATGTGAGAGTGAGGGAACAGAGAACATTACAGGTGAAGCTTTTCTGTCACATAATAAACAACTTTCAAGCATCTGGTCTAGTCTACACTAACTTGAGCTTACATCACACGAAGATTAATTACACAAAATTATTTCCTAAACATATGACCAATACTGTAGTGATTGATACAAGACAAATATTCTTCTTTTTTGTGTGTGAAGTGTTTAGAAGAAAACTGTTAGTAGGGATCCAACACTGAAGGCTACCACTTTTGGCAAATAGATAATTTTCTTAGAAAATTACATGAACGGGGTTAGTCTTGTCCACATTTTGCAACAGAATGAGATATCAGGTGGAGTGTCATGTTCCGGTTGCATGAGCCAATTTACAAACATTTCTTCAAAAATGTTGCTGACACAATTGACCAACTCAGAATGGTTTCTCAGACCTTAATATCTTCCAACTTGAATAGGGACCCTCTCCGACATCATTTAGGGAACTTGACCATCCCAATGCAGTTGCAATTTCTTCAAGTTCACCAATAATGAATGTGGTGTCACGTATATATACACGCCCTCCTGGTCTTAGTATCCGATCCATCTCAAGCATAATGCTTGAGATGTTACACTTTTTCCTGAGAAACAATTAGTTTATCAAACACTAATAATGGGAAATGTCTATAAAGAAAAAAGTACAGTGTCTCATACACACCTCTTCTTTTCAACAGAGAAAAGACCTGCTGCATGCAGCAGATCATATGTTCTAGGGTAGGTGTCAAATGGTTCACACCTATCAAGGCAGAAATTCCCTCCTCAGTAAAAATTAAGAAAATGAAAAGAGACACATGAAAATATCTGGCAACTGATTTCAAAAGTAGAATAAATAAATAAACTGATGCTATAGATTTGTTTATCTCTTCTAGTTTAGATCTCATTCTGCCAGTATGTGATTACTTGCTTGTTATACTCAAATGCCTCCAAATTCTCGGTGAGCTCAACTCACTTAGATAAGACATAAAAGCACATTAAATATCAACTTTCATAGTGTAAAGACAAAAATCACGTACCAATCATGCACAACTCCTATCAGCCCACGGTCATATATAACAGGCAAGGTATTGAATCCACTAACAGGGACAACATTCATAACCCAACAGTCAATACGGAGATCAAGCAGTGCAGCAGCAACCCTGCAGTTATCAGAGTAAAAGTAATGTCATAATACACACTGCGATAATAGCAAGGTCAGACAAACATTCTATAGAAGTCAAATAACTGGAAAATGTCACAAAAAAATGAGATAAAGATAACAAGAAAAGTAATACTCCCATACCCTCCAAATCCTGCCCTCATGTCCATTACATTTCTCAGGTTATACTCCTTCCAACGGAAAGCCCGAACGTAACTTTCTATTATTTCAAACCAATATTTTGTATCAGCCCTGAAAAGTTCATCTCTGGATACAATGGCATCCAATTGGATGCTTTGGAGCCTTTTTGGTGGTTCATGGAGACGCAAAGGCCACTCTGTAACATTTGCTCCAAATCCATTACTAGGTAATTCAGTGATGCAAGCCTTAAGGTTGACATACCTGCAAATTGTTTTGTGGCTATCATAAGTACTGATTTTGTGATTGTAAAGAAATGCAGGCATATAATTCTAATTGACCAGTTAAACTTTTACGGTATGAATCCTATAGAAAGCCAAAGTTGCAACAATTTCTTCATTATAACTTTCGGTAAACTTTCTTGGAATGACAATCAATCTTGATATCACTGACTCCTATTTTCTACATTCCAGTTCAAGTAATAATGACAACCACAAATCAGAGATATATGGCAGGATTAAACAATATATACAGTGTCATACCAAACATTATCTGGATCGTCATTGGACTCACATAATGGAGGATGCTCAGCCATGTCTCGACTAAGGTAGCAATTATTGTTCATAGGCTTCTGCCATATAGCAATATAACCCTCCTTTCGTACAAGTTCCCAACAAATGTTAGTTGTCAAGTTCTCCATCTCTGTTCAGTCCAAAGACCATTGGGTTTAAAACTAAATATCCAATGTCAATATATGAAGATCTAGGTCATTTATACCATATCATGTTGATTACAGAAAGAATGGATTGAGAAAATAGTTGATCCTCAACATTTAAGTATCTATCAACCCATTACCCATTGAAAAATATTACTTCTGTTAGGTAAACACAGAAATTATGAGCTACCTTTCCATTGCTCTTGAAGGGCCTCTTCATGTTTGTAAACAGGCTGTGCTGCCCAGACAAAGTAGCCACCTGCTCTCAGGAGCCTGTTGGCCTCAAGAAGAAAAATTCCATCTCCATTAAAGCCATGTAAAAATAGAATATCAGTACAAAGAACTAAAGCCTTAAGCATAATTGTGATCCAACTTTCATAAAAAAATTTCTCAAGTTTATTAAGTCAATATGTTTAACCTTGGATACATCTTTTTCTGAGAACAATTCATTCCATAGGGTAGCTCAAATACTTACATAAATTGTTTTAGTCACATTGCTGATCAAAAATAGCAAATGATAGTGCGCTATCTACAATCAGCTGTCATGTATTTCTCTTTTAAGAATTTTAATAAATTTGATATTTTATGTTTTCCTTAACCTACTGTGCACTTCGTATCAAATTGGTGTTTTCATTGCCCACCTCAATGCCTCCCAAACCCACCAGAGACGTGGAAAAAACCCTCTAGATTATCTTGAAAAAATTAGCTGCTCTATAGACCGAATTCACATTTGTTCGTGATTTTAATGAAACTCCCCATACCATACTTCAAAATACCATGGAAGCTCAACAAACTTCCTTAGAATTTAAAAATGAGTCAAACCTTGTTCCCACCTCTCATGCCACCGACCACAAAGCCATGAGCTAATCCATAACCATGCCTTTGCAAACCTCAAAGTCATCATCTAGTTCAAACCCTTCTCAAGTAGGTCTATACAACTGCCCAATACTACAACTACTTCCCAAACCCATGCATCTTTCCCACCTACCCCATCCTGCCCTTTTCATTTCCCCAAGCTCCAATCCAACTACTCCCATTTGAGGGCACGGACCCTTTAGATTGGTTGTTTCAAGCTAACTAGTACTTTAATTTTTAACAAATCCCTTGGGAATTCTGCCTCCACATGGCTGCTTTTTTCATGTAAGATGCTTAAGGCTGGGTTTAAATGGATGTACCAAAATCACAAGTTGGTTGATTGGCCAACTTTAGCTAGGGCTTTGGAGTTATGTTTTGGCCCTTCTACTAACCATCAAGCTTCAAGCTGTGCCAACATGGTTCAGTCTCTGATTGCCAAGCCACTTTTGAAAAACTATACAACAGAGTAATTTAGTTCACTCTGAAAACGACCCTTAGCTGTTTTATTTCCGGCCTTATACCCAAGATTTGTTGAGAGCTAGTCATCCTGCAACCCACATGTATCTATCAAGTGCTTGATCTCACTAAATTAGTTGAGTCCAAAATCCAACATTCAAAACCTAAATACTCATGATCGACATTGTCCCTCCCATAACCATCTCAACACCTTTTACCTCCAACTAGCCTCATCCAAGCCCAATCCACTACTTCCATTGCTTCATCCATACCCATAAAATTCATCCATGTCGAACTTCAAGAACACTGAGCAGCTAGTATGTTTCAACTATGACGAAAAGTACTAGCCCCATCCAAGCCCAATCCATTACTTCCGTTGCTTCATCCATACCCATAAAAAAATTCATCCATGCTAAAGTTCAAGAACAATGAGCAGCTAGCATATGTTTCAACTATGACGAAAAGTTCTATCTGGGTCAAAAATATACAACCAGCCATTTTATTATAACCACCCACCAAACACAAGCCCCAGCCCAAACCTCCCTATCATCAATGAAATCCATGGTCTGCTTCTTTTCAACTAATCCTTTCAAGTCATCAATGACACACATTCTTCTCACACTTTCAAGTTTCAAGGTCAAATAGCAAACTTACCGATCACAATCTTGGTAGACATTGATAGTTCTCATAATACCCTACTACCCTGATGAGCTTCTCTCTTGCAATTGTTCACCATACGCCTCTCGGTTATGGTTGGCAATGAAGACATATTGAATGCTCTATTCAATCACACCCTTTTTGGTTATGGCTGCCCCTAAGGCACAATATCTATTCAATCACACTCCTTCATCCCTTTTTACCTTATCCCTATTGAAGGGGTTGATGTGGTGCTAGGCATGGATTGGTTACAACCTTAGGCCCCATGAGAGATGATTTTTCCACTCCCTATTCTTTCTTTTTACCCATTACAACTCTCATTTTACCCTTTTTGGATCTACATCTCACCACTGCACAATAACATCTTTCCACCAAATCTATCACTTCTACACATAGACTCCATTGCATCTCTACACTTGCTTGATTATTGTTGAAAGTCGCACATCAATTAGAAATAAGGTTAATTTAGAATATATATGTGGGTGCAAACCTCACCTTACAAGCTAGCTTTGTATGGTTGAATTAGGCTTAAAGTTTACTTCTTAAAATGGTATCAGAGCTTGGTTAGAGTCTTTCCTAGCAAGATTTGTGTTTATTGGGCATATCATTCCACTTGTTATCGGACCACCCATTAATGTCTAGTCCCACGCACGAGATGTATATACCTCGGTGTGAGGGGTGTGTTGGAAGTCCTACATCGACTAGAGATAAGGCCAATTTAGAGTATATATGTAGATACAAACCTTATCTTACAAATCGGTTTTGTGGGGTTGAGTTAGATTTAAAATCCACTTTTTAACACTTATCATCACATTGACCATAACATAGTTTCTCCCTCACCCCTCTCTACCACCAATCCTGCCCCCATAACCCTCAATGAATTTCAACATGTCTTTCCCACACCCTGTGGCCTACTCCACAAGCACCACAATCCTCTATTACATGATGCCACCCGTATTGATATTAAGCCCGGCCACAATCCTCTATTACCCTTATGAACACAAACAAAAAATGGCATCCCTCGTAGCCATCATGTTACAAGATGGCATTATTTAACCCAGCACAAGCCTCTATCTGCAAAGAACTGTTTCAGTCCCAAGGTACTATGTGTTTCATGTTTCATATAAACTTTAAAAAACCATAGAATAGTTAGAAGGTGAACAATGAGAGATCAAAGGCTTAAATAGAGAGGAAGTACCATCACGAGTCCAATTAATTNTTGGCCACACATGAGAAAAGATGTTCAAAGGCATTGTCATAAATGCATTGGATGCTCACAAACCAAGGCCAAGACCATGCCTCATGGCTTGTTCACTTCCCTCCTCATTTCTTCATCCCTATGGGAAGACATTAACATGTATTTTATCCTTGGTCTACTCAAAACACAAAAGGGATTTCATTCAATATTTGTGATCGTGGATAGATTTAGCAAGATGGCTCATTTTATTATATGCCACAAGGTAGATGATGCTAGCTTCATAGTTAAACACTTCTTTAGAGATATGGTAAAGGTACATGACGTGTCAAAGACCATTGTATCAAATAGAGATACTAAGTTCCTAAGTCACTTTTGGAGAACTATTTGGTAAAGGCTACAAACCAAGCTTCATTTCTCAACCTCTAATCATCCCCAAACGGATGGTCAAACCGAGGTTGTGAATAGATCTTTGGGTACCATGTTGAGAGTAATTCTTAAAGGCAACCACAAACCTTGGGATGAGTACCTTTCCCATATTAAGTTCGCATATAATAAGGGCTTTCACAAGACCACCAAGATGTCTTCCTTTGAGGTTGTGTATGGCTTCAATTCTTTTGATCCTTTAGTCCTCATACCCTCTTAAATCCTAGTGAGTTCATTTAGAAGGAAGGGTATCTAGGTTCAAATTTGTGAAGAAAATGCATGAGAAGGTGAAGTCTCATATACAACACCAAACTGAGAGATACAATAAGCACAATAACAAAGGAAAAAGGGAAGTGATTTTTAAAGGAGATTGAGTTTGGCTTCATTTGAGATTTCCAAAACAAAGGGGAAGTGCCACATTCAATGTGTGTGATCTAACCCTTTTTGTAGGAGATTTGGAGGAAGATGAAGAGCCTCTAGATTTGAGGTCAAATCCTTCTCAAAAGGTTTTGCTTCTACAATTTGGAGACACCCTTATCCTATAAATAGATGTGTCTCTTACTCTTGTATTCATCTTTGAATTTGAGTAATGTTATGCAACCATTTTTTTGTCATACTATTCATCTTAGGTCACCAAAGGCTAGAACATCACATGTGGTCTCCTTTAGCTACCTTCTTTTAGAGTTGGTCTAACCTCTCTAAGAGCACGATCAAAGACCACTATATCACCATCCAAGAACCAAGGTCGTAAGCCTTCTTCCCCTCAATCCACCAAATTTCGCACTATCTCACCATTTTCCCCATCACCATAGCTTGTTCTTCTAGTTTTGACCCAACCTAGCTAAAAAGATTCACCTAACCTCTTTTTTAACACCATCAAACACCACTCCATCACCATTCAAGCACCAATACCATGAGTCTTCTCCTAATCCATCAAACTCCACACCCCATGTTCCATCTCACCACCTCCATAGCTTCTTTTAGCATTAGCCCAACCTAGTCAGGAGAAATACTATCAGTACCTCTATTACATTTTATATTTTGATTTGCCTTATGATTCTACAATCATGGGCAACAATAGAACTCCTAAGGAACTTATTGAGCTGGTTGCTAACCATCAACCGTTCTATATTGTTCCATTTGTACTTACAAAACATCTAATTCATTTGTTGCATAGATTTAAAGGTTATGGCACCTCCTAATGTTCCTGACAAACATGATAGACTAAAGACTTTTCCATTATAGTGCTAAGGATTGGTTGTACCACCTTCCTCTCAATTTTATAACTAGTTGAAACAATTTAAAGAGATTGTTCCTGGAGAATTTTTTTCCCTACATCCAGCGCTGTTTCAGTCATAAAAGACATGTGTGACATCAAACTTAGATATAAACACTTATTGAATACTGAGATATATTCAAGAAATTGTGGCTATCCACACCGCACTGTCAGTGATCAATTTCTATTGCAATCCTTTTATATGTTGACAAACTCAACTAGTAGTGGTGTCTTAGTAAACAAAAACTCCAATTACAATCTCATAGAAAACATCGCCTCAAGATACATACATGCCTAGATACAAACATGCACCATGTTCAACGAGGAACCTCAATAAATGTTTTTTCATCCACTTGGCCCTAGTCATAGGTGGGTAAGGTTATGAGAGTCAATTTGGAAAGGTTTATGAGAGGCATGAAAGGTAAGATAACTTTGTTTGGTCTAAGGTAAAAGGTCTTTAGTCGAGGAGAAAAATGGCACTGGCTCCTGATAATTTCATTCATTGAATGCTAGCTCACGAATATGGGGAAAGGGAAACAAAGAATATTTTATATAAAATTGAATTGATTCTGTCCAAGGCAATTTCAATTCCTTTCAATTCAAGATAATCTAAGCAGTGAAATATAATACTATATAACATTTTGTTCTACTTTATGTGATCTTTTCCATTAATCCAAAGACAAACATAAAACTGAACATGGAATCACAAAAATATGAAACATCTACATTTAATCCAAAATAACAATAAGGTGTGCCAAAACACAGTGATGTTATCAGTGTCTACTTATGATTTAGAACAGTCAGCCATTATCAGAAAACTGAGAAGATATGCAAGTATTCCTAGTTGATGGAATAACACATCATACAGATAAAAGAATAGTCGAAGAGTACGAATAAAATAATTTATTGTATCTGGAATAAATAAATAAAAGATACAATAGTACAGTATAGAGATCGTTTCTAACAAGTTCATTACTCTTAACAGTCATCTTGTCAAAACAACAAACACTATCAAACCCTAGCATGTGAGAGTGAGGGAACAGAGAACATTACAGGTGAAGCTTTTCTGTCACATAATAAACAACTTTCAAGCATCTGGTCTAGTCTACACTAACTTGAGCTTACATCACACGAAGATTAATTACACAAAATTATTTCCTAAACATATGACCAATACTGTAGTGATTGATACAAGACAAATATTCTTCTTTTTTGTGTGTGAAGTGTTTAGAAGAAAACTGTTAGTAGGGATCCAACACTGAAGGCTACCACTTTTGGCAAATAGATAATTTTCTTAGAAAATTACATGAACGGGGTTAGTCTTGTCCACATTTTGCAACAGAATGAGATATCAGGTGGAGTGTCATGTTCCGGTTGCATGAGCCAATTTACAAACATTTCTTCAAAAATGTTGCTGACACAATTGACCAACTCAGAATGGTTTCTCAGACCTTAATATCTTCCAACTTGAATAGGGACCCTCTCCGACATCATTTAGGGAACTTGACCATCCCAATGCAGTTGCAATTTCTTCAAGTTCACCAATAATGAATGTGGTGTCACGTATATATACACGCCCTCCTGGTCTTAGTATCCGATCCATCTCAAGCATAATGCTTGAGATGTTACACTTTTTCCTGAGAAACAATTAGTTTATCAAACACTAATAATGGGAAATGTCTATAAAGAAAAAAGTACAGTGTCTCATACACACCTCTTCTTTTCAACAGAGAAAAGACCTGCTGCATGCAGCAGATCATATGTTCTAGGGTAGGTGTCAAATGGTTCACACCTATCAAGGCAGAAATTCCCTCCTCAGTAAAAATTAAGAAAATGAAAAGAGACACATGAAAATATCTGGCAACTGATTTCAAAAGTAGAATAAATAAATAAACTGATGCTATAGATTTGTTTATCTCTTCTAGTTTAGATCTCATTCTGCCAGTATGTGATTACTTGCTTGTTATACTCAAATGCCTCCAAATTCTCGGTGAGCTCAACTCACTTAGATAAGACATAAAAGCACATTAAATATCAACTTTCATAGTGTAAAGACAAAAATCACGTACCAATCATGCACAACTCCTATCAGCCCACGGTCATATATAACAGGCAAGGTATTGAATCCACTAACAGGGACAACATTCATAACCCAACAGTCAATACGGAGATCAAGCAGTGCAGCAGCAACCCTGCAGTTATCAGAGTAAAAGTAATATCATAATACACACTGCGATAATAGCAAGGTCAGACAAACATTCTATAGAAGTCAAATAACTGGAAAATGTCACAAAAAAATGAGATAAAGATAACAAGAAAAGTAATACTCCCATACCCTCCAAATCCTGCCCTCATGTCCATTACATTTCTCAGGTTATACTCCTTCCAACGGAAAGCCCGAACGTAACTTTCTATTATTTCAAACCAATATTTTGTATCAGCCCTGAAAAGTTCATCTCTGGATACAATGGCATCCAATTGGATGCTTTGGAGCCTTTTTGGTGGTTCATGGAGACGCAAAGGCCACTCTGTAACATTTGCTCCAAATCCATTACTAGGTAATTCAGTGATGCAAGCCTTAAGGTTGACATACCTGCAAATTGTTTTGTGGCTATCATAAGTACTGATTTTGTGATTGTAAAGAAATGCAGGCATATAATTCTAATTGACCAGTTAAACTTTTACGGTATGAATCCTATAGAAAGCCAAAGTTGCAACAATTTCTTCATTATAACTTTCGGTAAACTTTCTTGGAATGACAATCAATCTTGATATCACTGACTCCTATTTTCTACATTCCAGTTCAAGTAATAATGACAACCACAAATCAGAGATATATGGCAGGATTAAACAATATATACAGTGTCATACCAAACATTATCTGGATCGTCATTGGACTCACATAATGGAGGATGCTCAGCCATGTCTCGACTAAGGTAGCAATTATTGTTCATAGGCTTCTGCCATATAGCAATATAACCCTCCTTTCGTACAAGTTCCCAACAAATGTTAGTTGTCAAGTTCTCCATATCTGTTCAGTCCAAAGACCATTGGGTTTAAAACTAAATATCCAATGTCAATATATGAAGATCTAGGTCATTTATACCATATCATGTTGATTACAGAAAGAATGGATTGAGAAAATAGTTGATCCTCAACATTTAAGTATCTATCAACCCATTACCCATTGAAAAATATTACTTCTGTTAGGTAAACACAGAAATTATGAGCTACCTTTCCATTGCTCTTGAAGGGCCTCTTCATGTTTGTAAACAGGCTGTGCTGCCCAGACAAAGTAGCCACCTGCTCTCAGGAGCCTGTTGGCCTCAAGAAGAAAAATTCCATCTCCATTAAAG